TGTGTGTGTGTGTGTGTGTTATATATATATATATATATATATACTAATATATATATATGTATATGTATATATATATATATATATATATGTTGAGTGCGTTTTAAATTCTGCTATGGATTTCCCTTTAATATATTTATGCAAACAGTCCACAAAAATACATACCTGTGCTGTATTTGGTCCGAACACCTGATCGAATGCAAAGGTGGCTGTGAGTGCGTTTGGGCACAGCACGTCCACAGTGTTGTTCACTCGCGCATTGCATTTGACTACGTTGGTGTGACCCCCTTTCTTCTCACTTTCACTTCTACCTCGACATCGCACAGACACCTGTACATTCGATTCACTGCTGCCGTCATCGTTACCGCTGGCCACCATTTCGCATAAAGTGATTTATATTTGGAGGTTCGAGTACAGGTATGTATACGAGATGATATATACTACCGATTGGATCGTTTGCACGGATCGTAGTCAGTATCAGTACTACCTCGGCATCCTAGACTATGTCAGTAGAAAAAAGTGCGGCAAATTGATGATATTGAAGCTAACTATGCTATGTCCTAGTCGAACATTGAAGCTCTAGACTCGGAGGCATGACAAGAATGCATAGGGACGGGGCATTCCGTATATATATTTATTGTTTTACGACTACAACATAGATACATGTATGATGTATGCCGGTGTTTGTTACACGCATCTGAGAATATTTCAAAATCGCATTTCCCGCCAACTTTAACCAATAAAATCAACTTACACAATAATATTGGAATCTCTCAGTTTGTCTCGCCCCCCCCCCCAAAAAAAACCCCCCCCCGACCGACTGTCAGACAGACCGGCCCACAAGAGGCAACGCAAAAGGTCTCTAAAAAAAGCCTCTATAAAATCATCAGGCTAAATCAGGCAAATCCGATAGGACAAAAGTATTCAACAAATTTAGACCACTTGGTGATCTTTTCACTCACACGGCACACATACATAATGTCGAGGTCAGAGTGACCATATCGAGGTGTGGAATATAGTTGCTGTTGCAGGACACTTTGATCCACCTTACATACGTACATCTTCTCGACGTCAGAGTCATCATGACGAGGTCACAGTGTAATACAGCGGCTATCAAAAATTCATAATAAATAATATTTTGGTTCGATTTCAATCATGTAAAATTGAAGCACTGTAAGATTCTTTCACCGGGACTTGAATAACTTCACCTGGTATTAGTCTTTTCGTACCACTCATTGCTCGAATCTCAACTAATTGTGTCAATGAATTGACGTGAGCTGCACTTCAACAGTTTAAATCACAATTCGACATATTGCACTGCGTGCCTTTCCCAATTTGATTTTATATTAGCATCGAACACTTGTGTTAACTTTCACTGACCTTGTACTTAGAAACAATAGGTAATTAACCGAAGCAGGTGAAAGCTCCCTTTTTTCGTTTCCCTAGACTATTATCTACGTAGCTTTATACATTAAAATAGTAAACATAGTCTCATAAAATAAATAAATAAGAGGCCACATAAACACACTATGAAACCCTGCCAAACGCGGCGTAATACGGCCATACAATTTAACTAACAAACGCTCAAGGTGAAATGAGCAGCCTGTGTACAAGTCTTCAGTATAATTTCAAGCCTCGCTAAATCAAGGAAAAATTATATTGCTGCCATTTTATTGCGAATACAGTTTGGCGACGGGAAAGTGTTAACCTCCATTCTCAGCCAGCGAGGAATATGACATACTCGGCCACCCAGTCCCTACCATCCTCGAAGCGTTTCATCCTCGAAGCGTGTACGTCGAATACTGGCGCAAGGAGCATATATCTCAAACCCTTAACATGTAATTTGGAAGTGTGATAGGATCAATTCTTGCATGACTCACTCGTGCCGCGTCTCCAGAACTATGTTTATATACAACATAATAGCTCTCATTACTATCACTTGGTAACCAGGTAAGGTCAATCGGCAATATTATTCGAGCTCATTCACCGACGAAGCGACTTATGTCGAACAAGATTCTAGTCAAGAGGACGACGTATTGAGGACGAGTACCTACGGATTTAACTAAGGTTGAATCTAATGGGCTATACTCAAGACAGTATTAAGGATATTGACATCCGTATAACGACCGGCGACAGAATAAAAATACACGCAACGAAGCCCAGGCTGAGTAGTGAGCGAGTGCATACACATATCTTGACATAGGAAAACCTAACATTGATAAGTACTGATCTCTACACGAGAGTAGTATACTGATCCTTAACGAGAGTAGTATACTGACCCTTACACGATAGTTCGCAGTGAGAGTACCCAGCAACGCATACATTCTCATACATTTCAAGGCTAATAGCTTACCAAACACGATAGAATGTGGATATCAGTACGACAACGACCATGAGAAACGTAATACGATTGTGGCCAAAATAAGTACCAAAGAGAGCGCGAAGCGGTCGTCTTAGGTCAATGGTTCGGAAACCAGTCAATGCAGGTGTGCTGCGAACACTCACTATGGGTGACCTAGCAACACAAGCATGACGCATCGATAATTTCTCAATTCGATGGGGGGTGTTGGATAGGTTACCAGGCTATAAATATCCTGGTAACCATACCAACTGTGGCGAGTGTTCGGAGTACTTCTGGTGTGAAGCACCCCCAGGCACTGCCAGCCTGGCTAATATATATTCTCTTGGGTGTGCGAGTTCGATTCTGTATCATTGCCGATACTCGCCTATGTGCTTGTTCATACATATATATATATATAACTGGCGTGTCTCCCGGCCCCTCTTATCCGCACGTCCAGTCGCCCTCTGTTCTCAGTCTTCACTTCATCGTTCAGTCTTATTCAGTCTGTCTGTTATCTCATACGTCGACGCCCTCTAGTCATACGAAGTCGATCACCACCCCTATTCCAGTCCTTACCTCCCGCTGATTAAGGCTGAAATCCCCAGCGTATCTGACACTCGCCATTTTGTCCAATAAAAACTAGGACTCAGGCTATTATACAGAGGAAAAGGCGTATTTCTCTCCCTCTACTAACTGTGTACACCTCTACGCGTAGGCTCTCCTCATCAGCTGTCTCTCTCACCTCTCACGTGTTGACATGGTGCGTCGCTACACAGCCTCATATCTCTTACGGTACCATGTCTGTCCAGTTTCCGCTACCAATGACATTCGTTGGATATATCTCAAGTTGAATACCAGTTTGTTTACATATAACTGCATACAACGTCTGTCAAGTCAGCACCAGTCCATGTACTCTTCATATCTTACCCCCCCTCCTCTCTCTCCCCTTCGTCAATTGTAGATTCTAATTCTCAAGCGCCTACGATCCCAGTTCTTCCCTGCCCCCCCCCCCCCCCCCGCCGACTCTCACTTCTCTTAAACATGTTGATCCTTCTTATTTCACATAAGAAGAGGTATATACCGTTCCTTCCTATGAAGAACACGCCTTATATTCAAGTGTGTGTACGTATACCTTATGTCCACGTACATCTAAACAACATGCAAGAGCGTGCGCAAATCGTTGGTTGCTGCACTTCGGTTGTACGCCTCTTTCTCCGAGACCATTGTGGGTGATGACTCATAGCTCCGCACGCCCCCCCGCATCAACTCAGAACTGCGTGCTAGAGGTGAGTTATTAGACAACCATCCCATGGGCGGAGGTGGCAGGGCCGATGGCTCCGGCGCACTGTACGAGTAGTCGCCTGCCGCATAGAAGTCCGCTGGGTCTGACTGTGGTACACACGGTGCACCCTGGCGCTGCGATTGCACACGTGGAATTACATTGGACTTTTTTAAGTTATTATTGGTGTTGTTATTGTTCGTATGGTTCTTCTTAGTGCTGCTGCCGTTGCCTGCTGTACCGAACTTTCCCTCGGATGGCAAACTCGAGCCGCTTCCGCTGACATTCTTCCCACCTTTAGCACTGGTGGAGTTGAGCTTGTCTTTTTTCCCGTTTTGCCCGTGTTCTTAGACAACTTGCTGTTACGAGTGGCATGCGGTGCCTCGTTACTACCAATCTTGTGTTTGGTGCCTCCTGTGGTGTTCTTTCCCTTTTTACTACTACTTAGCGACCCATCGGAACTACCGCCAGAGCTGTCGTTCTTGTGATAGTTGGCATCTGCAACGTGATTTTTGTGGGTGTTTGCTATGTTCATGGGTTGGGACTTGCCGTGAGTGGGTGTGGTTGCCCCTCGGTCGGCCGAGTATGGTGGTGTGCGTTTCCTGCGGCTGTTGCCATTGACTTTCTTCACTGGAGAAGACATGGCCCCAGTGCACACCTTGCTTATATCGCGCGAGTCAAGCATGTAGCCTACTATATCCGTACACGATACAAATGATGCTGTGTCAATACACACAGTAATTGATTATAGCTGTTTGCAGAAAGTAATAAAAAATCTCGTGCCTTGTGAGACTAATACCTCTCGTAGTTGTACCAATTCCGACTGGAACAGTAGTGCGTGGCTGTACATTCACTTCAGATTTCGAGACATCAATTCAAAGCGGAGTGGTGCACTTGGTGTAAGTATTTATGATATTCTTAACTTTCGAAAAACTAACCTTTTCGATTTACTTGCGCACATCTATATGTTTACCTATGTAGATGGTTTAGTTAGAGGTGAGTATTAGAACAAGCGTAAGCCGTTCTCTATGGAGGTTGTATAGCGTCGTGTAGTGTTTATAATGAAAGTGTGCGTTTCACTATCTTTGCGCCTCCATATATGCAGAACTCGGACTTTTTATCACAAACCGAGTCACGGAGTCACCTGTTTACGTACCAATATAAAGAAAACGTATTACTTATATGCTCCGAGGTACGGGAGATGACGCATTTCAGATTTCTATGGATGGCGTTTCAGTAAATATAAATCTGTCTATTTATGTTACGAATCATGAAGTACATACGTTTTCAATTTTAAGTTTACCTAAATATGATGCTCGCCTTCCCACAGTTTTTTTTTTTGGTTGGAGTCCAAGTCTTAGCCAAGACTAAAAAACTCAGCACCTAAAACCACAGAGATTATGTAGCCAGCTTTTTATTGGACGAGCAGTGGAGCATACTTACTGCTCCTGAATCCTGATAAGCCAAATACTGAGGACTGTATCAGTGTACATACCCCAGAGGCCCAGAGTGAACCAGAGTCCCAGACTTTAGAGAAGACCCCCAGCTTTAACCAGCAGGGTGAGGATGCAGAGATGATTGATGAATCTATTTGCATTTTAAAATGTTCCCCAACAACAATAATTCAACGTTTGTGTCACTGTGGTAACATGGTTACCACCTCCTGAGAGGTTGAGAGGCTAAGAGGTTGACACATATACGTACAAGTGTAATCTGCTATTCGTGTTCAAAATATAACAATTTATGCTTGCTCCCAAAGGCGAAATTTATGAGTGTAGGTGTTCTATGAATGTACATGTGAGCATATGGTTTCGTAACAGTGCGTTCCTTTTTCTGCAATACATATTCGCAGTTCAATGTAAAGTAAAACGGAATATGTATCAACTCTAAAGATCAATATATAT